GAAGATGAGCAAACTGAGCTGCTTACTAAAGAATGTATTAATCAAACAGAGCTAAACTGTTCAACCCATATCATCTGGTGCACAAGACCATCCATCTTCTCAGAAAGGATGTCCACTTAAACTGACAGGAGAGCAGAGAAGCAGATCTATAGTCTGCAGGTCTATAGTAACAGGCCCACTATTACTTGTCAGGTGAACAGGTGGCTGAACCTGTCTACAAAACTACTACTGAGTCTTTGCTCCACAAATGCAATATGACAAGAAAAGAATTATTGAGAGAAAATCAGAGAATATGTTTATCCAGTTTGGTACAAATGATGTATGAGACATAGTAGATATGTAGAAGGTATTTTGATCAAAGGAGACAGGCAGTTAATATCCAGGACCTACAGGCAAAATGCAAAATATGTAGAAAAAACTGCAACTGCACCTTATTCCTGTTGTGACGACCACCCTAAAGAGATCATGTTGGTAAGATTCATGGGCTATACTTGCCTGGTCAAAGTCCAGACCAAAATCTAAATGAAAGTATGTGGCAAGACTTAAAAACTCATGTTCTTGGGTGATTCCAGTCCAGTCAAACTTTACACAGAATATACAGAACCTGAATAAACCAGGCCATTTAAAGCCTTTTACACCCAGAATCAGAGAATTGAGTTTCTGGAGCTGGAGACCAACGACCTCCCAGCAGGAGGCTGATGTGTTGCTTCAGGCCCCTTCTTCATCCAGGTCCAGCTCCGTCTTCACCTCCCGCTGTCACATGCAAATGCTGTGCTTGAACTGTGGGGTCAGGGAGGCTGGTGGGGTGTTGGTGCCTGCAGCGCAGCGTGTGATGAGGCATGAGGCGGTAAACACACGGCACACTTTGACCCTCCTCCTGCTCCTGGCTCAATAACGCTCTCATGAAAACTATCTGATCCTGATACAACTGATAGCTGCTGTGTGTCTGTGTGTGATGACGTGTTGAGTGTAAACACGTGCCACACTTATGTGATTTTATCTCTCACAGACACTGGTACACCGTTTACAGAGCACAGCTTTATCTAAAATGGACTCTAATCCTGGTTTGGATCAGAAGCTCTCCAGACTTTATTAAGGTCCTTCAGACTTCAGCTTATTTTTGTTCTTACCTTTGATTAAATTCCTTATAGTTTTTCATTTCATTTCAAATACGTCAAAGTTCAGATAGTTTTACTGATGAGGTTCAACAAGCTACACATTTAAGTATTATTAAAACGAAAGTTTTTTTGATCCACAAAGAGAGAACAGACTGATGCCCCCGGAATTACATTTGTTGCCAGAAGAATCTTTTTTTGGCTCGTGTGGAATCTAATCATTGTGGTTAAAATTTTAAGCCTTAAATAAAATAAACCTCTGATAGTAGACTGAACCTCTGCATTAGCTTCAAGGCTACGTGGGAAGAATGGCTCAGGAGTTGGAGAGAATGTTTGGATCTAAGTGTAGATTGTCTGCTTCTCCATATTAAGAGAAGTCAGCAAACGGGGAGCAGCTTCACCCCACATTGAACTATTCAACAATCAAATCTTACATTTTTTTTCACCTAACATTTAATTAATATGTGTATTAGTTGATAACTAGAGTTATCAAACATTTTAAGTATCACAAAAAATTAAAAGATGCCTTTCCTCACCAAAAAGTAGATCATCAGACTAAAGCTGACTGAGGTCAGTTCCTATTAAATAAGCTGCAGTTATAGGCATGCATTTTAACAAACCTACCAGATCAGGAAAACAATGAGGATTTTATAGAATTTCAAATCACTTTACATTTGTAATGACTGTGTCATGCTTGATGCACTCCTGTTCTAAATAGTGCATGTGTATTAGAATCATAGGTGAGTCAAAATAGGATACACTATGCTTGCAGGGACATCACTGTCTTATAATTTGTGTTCATTTTATACAAAATATTTTATTAACTGAACAGAATTTTCTAAATGTCAATATTCTTTGAGAGCCTGTCAATAACAAGCGATCAGCATACTGAGGTGGGTGAATCCTCATCAGTACCGACAGAACATTGGTAAAGTTTATCTTATGTGAGTGTTAAAACGTTGCTGTGATGTATGAGTCGTAATTCACTCAATAGGCGGGTTTTAGTCACGTGATGATTATGACGCGGCCAGGAGGCGCAATTTCAGATGGAGGGCAGGAAGTCTATGAAGTTAGCGTAAACATGGAGGACACCGTTACCGAGAGCCCGTATTGTATGGAGTTAGAGCCTGTTTCAAGACGATACAAGGAGTTGATTGACAGATATGTTGGACGTGACCCGTACCTCATGAAGATGAGTGAGTTTTCGGTGGACCTTCAAGATTTGCCGACAGTGGAGGCCGTTGACATAACGAACTATCTGGTCCTTCAGACGTCGTATTACACCAAACAGCAAATGAAGGCCTATAAAAGTATGGAGGCATATAACTTCTTTGTCAGCGGGTGGGTCCACAACCTCGGCACCAAATGTCTCCGCGACTATCATCTTTTAGTCTTTGCTTGGGTGAGTGTTTGTTCTTATATTGTTTTATGTGTTAAAAGATGCTAGCGTTAGCAGTAGCGGCTAGCCTGACAGTTGTTTATGTTTCAAGGTAAAGCACTCACAGCGTTGGAGCGAAACATCTCTGAAGAGATGCTTCTGATTTGGGCTTAGTTTTTTGGTAACCGAGGTTGACCGTCGGAGCCCAGTCTACCGACTCAACGTCACCCAAAGCGCTAGGACAGCCTAAACAGTCACAATGAAGTCCATATTAGACTACCGGTAACTTATTAATCATTACTAAGTAAATGAGCATTTAACGACAACCTTATGCTATATAAACACAACCGCAAAAAAAAGTTAGCTAGCTAACATAACGTTATAGCTTACCTCCGACGAAGCTGTCGCTGCAGAAACGGGCAATGGCAGACTCTGCTCCTCCAGACCGCAGACGTAGGTTTAAAATCCATTTCTTTCGGCGTTGTTCTGTGAGCTTTTTACACTTCTCACCTTTATGAACGACAATCTTTGGTACTCTGTAAAAGCTCTTTTCCTTTTCTCGGTTCGAACGATTGGAGCAGCCGTAAACTACGCAAAACATAGGCATTATTTCAGACGGCAGATCCTCAGCTACTTCACTTCCTGCCCTCCATCTGAGTTTCGCGGCGTCGCGAAGCAGCACTGTGACGTCACGTGAAACCAAGCTATTATAGGCATCTGTGGTATCTTGTTGTGTTAGTTAACTTTTTACCAAAACCTAGAAAATCTTTCATTAATAATTTTAACTTTTTTATTTTAGAGGCCTGAAGGCTCTAAAGGTTCAGTCAACTTAGCTGTTCAAACAATAGCAACCTCAGACGAGAAGAAACAATAGGTAACATAATAATATAATTGTTTGTTGTTTTTAATACCTGTTAGTAATGGTTGAAATTTTGCTCTACAACTCAAAACAGGTTTAAAGAAAACTAAAAACTACCTACTTTGAGAGAGGCTTATACCGTAAAGATACAGGTTCTAAACGTAATACGTATTAAACTACATCACTGTTTATCTTCATATTCTATAAATATGCTCAATCTGTTCAAAAAAGTTTACAGGCATATGTTGTTACGTTGTGTTTTTATTGCTTTTTGAAAACTATTGAAATAAATTGAGTTTTTAAATTGAAAACTTTCAATTATTAATATTACTACTAATCTTTTATTTCAAAAGTCTGTTTAGCAAGCACAGTATCCGTTTTAATATTGTTGTTAAACAGTTTTCCTGTTTTTATTTGGCATTTAATAACCCAGCAGGTCTTGGTTGATCAGAACTGGTCCCGACCAGTTTGAGTCGGTTTGATCAAGCAGAAGCATGATGCATTTTTTCTGTTCATGGACAGATTTCCCTTCAAAGCCATCATTTGATGGTGTTTTAAGGTTGACCAGCCTTTACTTTTATTTAATACAGTCATGTTTATTACATTAGAATCTGGGTTTTGAAAGGGGTTTAGGTATTTTTTGATAATGAATGATAATTACAACATTTAAGAACAGGCTGTTCTGTAACACATGTTTTTATTGGTCTGTTGTAAAATTACAATCCTAAATGTAATTAGCAGTGAGCTTAAAATCGTTAATAACAATACAAGAGGCTTGAACCATCTGTCTTTGTGAAATTAATCTATATTTTGTATTTAATTTAGTGGCAGAGAGTCTGAAGTTAATCAGTAAGTGATATCTTCCAATGGATATGACTGTAGATGCAATAATGTCTGTTTCTGTGGTCCTGAATGTCCAAGTTTAGAGTTGACTTTCCAAATTAGGCCAGGAAGAGGATATTAACCAGTTAAGCCCGTTTGATAATCAAAACCCAACAGTTTTTTTTACCCAAGTTTAGATGTCAGTGGGTTTCTTCATGTTTTGTATCTCTTCAATAAGTTGTTTTCCAAAGTAAGAGAGAATCATGCTCCTCTTTAAAAGCGAACACTTAGAAAAGTGGTTTCATTTATAGTGAACTCAGTAATGAGGCCGAAATGTTTTTTTTTTTCTTATTCTGAATGAGATTAGCAGAAATGCCGAAAATTCGGAAGTTATGCTACTAGATTAAGCAAAAAGTAAACCATAAAAATAAGATTATGAATCAAGAACATGACAGCAAGCAACAAGCAAAATATTTTGGAAAGTAATGCTTAGTCTGCTTCATTGTATATTGAATCACATAGTAATTATATAACAAAGCAGTGGGATATCAGCAATTGGGGATTGGAGGCCTAGTGGGGTGTAGAGCTTGGAATCCTGAGGTTCTGAGTTTGAGTCCCACTCCCACAGACTGACACTCTGGGACTCTGAGCAATATCCTTAACCCCACACTGCTCCCTGAGCGCCCAACGATGGCAGCCCACTGCTCCCCAAGGGGATGGGTTAAATGCAGAGGTAAATTTCTCCAATGTGAGATCAATAAAGTTTAATTATGAAATTATTAAATCAACAGAAAAATATTGCTGTGACTGATTTATAAACCACAAAATGATATGGGGCAAACCGGTCATGCAAAAGCAAAAGGTCTAATAAGGAACAGCATTATGAATGGAAAAGATTATGATTTGTTTATTAGCGTTATTAGCATTTTATTGATTTAAATAGCAGTTTCCAGTAGCTCCAAACTGGATATAAGAACCACCAGATGCTTCTCCAAAGAAACCAGTTAGAAATGCACAAAACAGAACAAATGCTTGGATGTAAGTCAGGTCACATATTTAGTTAGGGAAACCAGCAGTATACATATATACAGTAACAGGACAGTATGATGAATGTCTCACTTTAACACACAGCTAAAACATTCAAAGCCAAAAGAGATTCCATCATCTGTCAGATTAAATTAATTCTAAATGGATAAATATTGGTCAGTCTGTTCAGTCCATTTCACTGCTGAAGGTGTAAGGTGTCCAGTGCTTCACTGAAGACCCCAGAGAACCCAGGTTCTGGACCTGATGCCGCCTGCAGCTCAATGTAGTCCTGATGGTCGCCCAGGAAGGAAGGAGTCCACTGAGAGGAGGGGAAGAGAGGAGAAGAGTGGCTGCAGGGGTCCCACTGAGGTACCACAGCACTGGGGGAGAAGGAGTAGGGGTACCCCTGGGGAAGAGGAAGAGGAGCAGGAAGAGGAGGGGAGGCTTGTTCAGGAGCCAGCATGTTCACTGAGGAGCAGGAGGAGGAAATAGTCTGATGATGAGGAGGAGGGAGGGAGTCCTGGAAGCTGCTGCAGTGCATGCTGGGACGCTTGGTGCTGGGCTCTGACGGTGATGGGGATGATGATGGTGGTTTGCTTTCACTGGGATCAGACTTCCTCTTCCTCTTTCGGCGGAAGTTTCCATTGTCGAACATCTTCTCACATTTTGGATCCAGAGTCCAATAGTTTCCTTTACCTACAGGAGGAGGAGATGGAGGAAGGTCAATGATGTGATGTCATTTAGTTTCAACAACACTAATCTGAGGAGGAGGAGTAGCTCTTACCTGGATCGCCATCATCCCGGGGAACCTTCAGGAAGCAGTCGTTAAGCGACAGGTTGTGCCGGATGGAGTTCTGCCAGCCAGCCTTGTTGCGGCTGTAAAAGGGGAAGTTTTCAGAGACGTACTGGTAAATCTGACTGAGAGTCAGCCTCTGGTTGGGCGAGCTTTGAATCGCCATGGCTATGAGGGCTGAGTAGGAGTAAGGGGGCCGGACCAGACTCATCAGCTCCTCAGAGGACAACCAGGATCCACCGGGGAGGTTCAGGAGATGAGGAAAGAAGTTTTGGATAGCTGGAACAATTCCTGGGGGGCCTTCAGGGACTAGGCCCATGTCCTGTCTGCCGTAGGAGGATAATGGGGTCCTTGGAGAGGGGTCCGCTTCAGGAGGAGGACTATACAGGCTGAAGTCAGACCCATCCAAGTCCAGAGAGGGGAGCTCCTGCTGGGGGCAGCGTTCGGGCAGGAAGGAAGACAGAGCCTGATCCAGAATGAAGGAGGCCATGATGTCTGTACACCTGCTGCTCACCTGAGACTCTTATACCCTGCAGCCCCGCCCACAAGGCGGCTGATTGGCTCCTGGGAGTGAGTGTGCGAGGTGAGGGATGATTTGAATAAGAACAGGTAGAACCCCTGCCCCAGGCTGTTCAGAGCCCCAGGATCTGATGGAGAGGTATGTCAACAGTCTAAGGACTGCAGAGTCACTGATTCAGCCTAAAAGAATAAAGTTAAACCTTCAGCCACAGCTAATCTCTAAGGACATTCATCCTTATAGAGACCCTAAACCACAGAGAACCCCTTCAAGTCCTAATCAGAGAGATGGTACCTCAGGTTCTGGGATTTTTTCCTGCTACTAATACTTTACTTGACAGAAAGTTGACCGGTTATTTTTATGATATTTTTTAAATATGAAGTAAATACAAAATTAACTGATCACTGAAAAGTTTAAGACATATTATGCCTTCTTTGTGTTTTATTTTTTGGAGCTTTCCATGAAATTTCAAACATAAATAAAACATACAAATCTTCAGGTAATTTAAACATTAGTATTTCTGCTTTCATGAGATCAAGGGCAATGCTGCAATTATCTTGATTCCATCATTTTTTGTATTTCAGCTTGTAGAAAGTTCCAAAATGTTTTTCCTGGAAATGTTTTTCCTACTTCTAAATGATACCATTCCTTCTCCTGACACTTGAAGCTGTTTCAACATAGATGACATGAAGCAATGAAGGTGTTATTTTATCTCTCACTGATGGATATCAAACAGAACAGGAGCATTCTTTTTATGTTTTGTAAACTCTTTTTATATAGTCCAAACAGGACTGCAGGGATGTATTGGACTCCAGTGCAAACAGGATGCAGGCAGGACAGTGGTGAAAGTAATATAACACTAAAAATGATTGGGATTATAAAACTGTTACAGCAGACCGACAGAGAGCAGACAAGTGAGACAAGCTGAGAGTAAGAGTTGAATCTGACAGAGAATCAAGTGAGTATGTAAGTACTTGCAAGATCTGTATGCAAAAAAAAGACACTGACTAAAGACTACTACTACTTATAAAGCACTTTCAAACACATGATATGCAAAATAGTGCTGCCTGGATCAATTAACATTGAAAACACAAAACAAATAAAGAAATTATTAATAATGATAATACCGCATCTGGATAAAGAAAAGACCTCAACTAAACTAAACAGAATGGAATACACTTTGTAAAATGAACAGAACTTAATTTATCAAAATACAAAAAAAAAAATTAAAATAAAAAACACAAGAATATAGAAATGTAAAAATCAAATTACTATATAGACTGAGTGGTTCAAATCCCAACTGGGGGACCTTTCCCACATGGCATATCCCCTTCTCTTTCCATCTGTCTCCTGTTTGCAGCTGATTCAAAAAATGGCCACTATGGCAAAAAAATGAAAAATACATCAGCATCATGGGAACATATTCAGTTGACCCAAACAGCAGCAGTGCATAGTAAATGTTGCCTTAGTGGGCTTTAAACAACAAACAAACACACACACACAAAAAACACACACACACAAAAACTACTCCTGTACAGAAATATATCAACAACTTAATCCAACAATACCGACAGATTCAAATGACATAACATCTAAGATGTAAGAGTTTTTGTTGTCAATATTCTTACATGGAAACATATGAAACAGAATTTAGGTTGGAGAAATGGCTATATAGCTTTCACAGAGTTAATATAAATAAAAAGTCTATACATTTTTCTTTGTCATCAAAAAAATACAGTAAAATTCTGTCTATTATTTAGATTGATTAAAATGTTTTCTATCTAAGGAAACAGTGCAGTTTGCACTGAATCACTGATTTGAAGTATTCACTCCTCTTGGATTAACTTGTAGCTACAGCTGATATTGACTGTGTGATCTGGTTGAACTGTAAAGTGCCTTGAGATGACGTGTTGTGAATTTGGCGCTATATAAATAAACTGAATTGAAATTGAATTGATAGTTGCTTGTGTTGTTGTGTTTGCAACAATCCATCATACTGAGCCGGCCTTTAGCCACAGTGAAAAGAAAAACTAAACACTTAACAGGAAGAAACTTCTATCAGAACTAGGCTTATTATATACAGCAGTGTTCCGTGACCAACAAAAGGATTGAGAAAACAGAGCATACGCACAAAAGGAACCCAGAATCACTGATCCAAGAGTGTTTTCTATGTGTGCGAAAAGCAAAAAAGTAGATCCCTTAGTGGCATCATCTAGGACAGAAACATAGCTAAGCTGATTAAAAACTGAAAGACAGGAATGTCTTCATCATCTGTTGAAGAAAAATATGGAAGTTGTTGGGAAGTAATCCCAGCCGATGCTCTTCTCCTTCACACTGTCACAGCTGAACAGGCCAGATGTAGCTGCTTTGACCAAAAAAAGAAAAAAACAGAGAAAAAGCAGTGTAGTGAATAGTGTAGTGAAACTACAAGTCTCATTTTTACATCCGGCTACTTTGGCATCTTTAAGTCTTTAAAAGGGCTGGTTGCAGTTGTGGAGATGAATTATTTGATGCTGTCACTTTATTTACAAAGAGCACACTGCTTTACAAAACATAACCCCATATATTTTGTAATTTTAGCCACTTTGTGCACTAACTGTCCTATACCAACCAGTGGGCCCTAGAGGCATAAGATGGCAAGAAGTTTTAGCTGAGGTTGATTGTTAAGAGGTTAAAAAAGCAAATGCTTCTACTTTGGCATGATTTGCATTTTTTGGCTGTTGAGACTTAGATAAATTGCTGTAATGTGCCGGATTCAAGCTTTGGGTTTAACACCTGTGACCTAGACTCACTGTGTTTTGGATCAGCTAAAGGCTTTAACTGAATTTTGAGGGGAAAAAAACATCCATCTTTCAGCGTCACTTCTGGACACTAAACATTTATTCTGATGGTGAAAGAAGGGGGTTCTAGAAACCTGTTTAAGAAGGGATTTAAATATTGTCTGGTTCAAATATAACACCAAAGCAGCAGATGTTGCTCCGAAACCTCTGTTTGACTTTGCGGCTGTGAATTGAGCATATATTTATTGCTGTATTTATTTTTAAATATGGCAGAGTTGGTCCTCCATAGAAGTAGACATAAGATCAGCCAAGAAAACGGATACTCCCACAGACTGCCACCCTGGGTTCCTGAGCAAAGACCCTTAACCCCACACTACTCCCCAGGCACCGCACAATGGCAGCCCACTGCTCCACAAGGCGATGGGTTAAATGCAGAGGTACATTTCTCCAATGTGAGATTAATAAAGTTCAGTTATTATTATGTTTTAGGGAGGTTCCCCCTAATATTAATGTTAAATCTAAGAAACTACCAAGTCATCACCTCCCTTTCATTTAAGTTCTGATGTTTTTTAGGTGGTTAAAAAAGAAAATAATTCAGCCTTCAGGAGGGTTTCATGGATAATGAGACTGATGTATTTATTTACTTTAGTAAAGTTTAATGCTTTATCAACAATGCTGTTTTCAGCGTCTACTTCATATCCCAGACGTACAGATGAGTGTTATTCCCACAGGATTCCTGTTGTTGATGTTTGCAGGATAATAGTTAAAACCAGATCAGATTCAGCAGTTATCTGCAGCCATCAGACAGAACCTCCAGGAATCGGATTAGAAGCAGAAACAGACGCTGATGCAGCAGGCTGCCTTTATTTTCAGGACATTTAACAGTCTACATCAGTGACTAAGTTAGGTTGTCTGTGGCAACAAACTGGAGTTGTGCGCTTGACTGCTTTCTGCTGTGCAGAACTGGAATCAGCTAATCTGAAAATGCACAATCAAGCTTAAGGATTCCTTTAATATTTAACTGTTTTTTTTGTTGTTGTTTTTTTTTTGGCATATATCTAATTTTGGAGTAACAACCATGAGGAAAAGAACATTAGTTATTAGACTCTCACTTCCATTTTATTTAAAGTCACATTTTTGTAGAGTTAATGCAGTAAATGTCTTGGCCTAGTGCGTTTTTGCTCTGAGAAGGTTGCAAGTCCCCGGTTTGATCCCCACAGCCTCCACTCCTGGTTCCTTAGCAAAACCCTGAAGCCCACACTGCTCCCCACACAGTGGCAGCCCACTGCTCCCCAAGGGTAGGTATCAAATGCAGAGAATGAATAACCCCATTGTGGGACAATAAAGGGATTTACAAATTTATGTGTAGCTTGGTGTTTCTCTAATATAAACTATTTTCTTCCACCACCATAGCAGCAAAATTTCAGGTTTCAGCCGTTTAGGCTTTTTCCTCTTAATAAAAACTTTAATAAACATTATTCAAATTTTATCTTTATATTAAAAATACCTTTAGCTGCAGTTGGCTTATAAGTCAAACTTAATTCTCTCTTATTTAATTAGGATACAAACAATCAAAACTATTTAGTGCTAGTTTTGTTTTTAACTAAATGCTGAGAACAAAACCACATTCATTCAATCAACATTTCTGCGGTAAATCTGATGAATCAAATACCAAGGAGTATTAACAGTCTGTAAAATTTAAAAACTACTGAACTAAAAAAAAAGTGACCCTGTCAGGAGCTGAACCCTTATTTAGTTGAGTTTCTGTGCTTCGTATCTGGGGCAATGATTGTACCAATCATTAAAAACTAGCATTCTCATATTTTAAAGGGTTTGTGTAGATGTTCTGTGAAGTTCCCTCACCTGTTGTAGACACAGCTGTTTAGAAATGTAGAACCTTTGCATGTTCCCTTTAGAAGACTCTCAAACTGAAAATTATATTTTTAGTGGGATGTATCAGATTTTAACAGTCCTCAGTTTAACAACATAATGCTGTTATGTTTAGGGTTGGGGGAGTTTGGTTCAGCTGGCTGACTATGAATAAAATGCACCACACTATGTCATGGTTGTTTGGAGTTTGACCTACATGCAAAATCACATGTAAAAAGCACAGATTTTCAAAATTTTATTTACAAAGGCAAGAAAAATCTGGAAGTGGAGAATTGCAGTAAGTGAGTAGAACTTTCTGGTTGGTCTGGGGGAAGAAAGCAGAAAGCATGGGTTTAAGCCGGGCTTACACTGTGCAATTTTTTTGCCCTTTTCGGGTAGACTTTCCAGTCGTGCAAGTTTTTTTCGATGGGGCTGGCTTTCAGCTTGATTGTGGGTCATGTAGTGTACAGGGGGTAACGAGGGGCAATCAGCCTCTCATGACCACCTCCTGATTAGGAATCGTGAGGTCGGGAGAAAATCAAATTTGATTTTCAGTCGACTGTTGTGGGCAAATCGCTCAGTGCGCAAACAAGTATTCTTCTTCTCCCTCTCAGATGAAAACACAGAAGCATGGCGGGGGTGCAAGTGAAATGTAGTTCTTTCTGTAAAATTGACAGACCGTAGTAGCTACGTTTTCTCAGCCATGTCTTTGTCCAAATATGTCGCCACCTTTTTCTTTTTAGGGCTTTCAGCACTAAAATGCAAAATTGCCAAGGCAGCACATTTCTCTCTATAGTGAGCTTGATATTCCTCTTCTACTGGTTTGGCTTCCGGATAGACGAGTCCCAGTAGTGCCATCTCTCTCCGGAGCTGAGTCCGACGTGGTTTTTAAACGTACAGTGTTAGCAGGTGGATCGGATCAGAGCGTCGTGCTGAACACGCATAGTGAGCTATGAACTCACATTGTACGATGAAACTGCAGGATTTCATCGTACGATGAGCTGCAGCTGTGTGCAACGACTGAAAAAAATGCACAATTTAACATTAGCTTTAGTTACTTGAGAGACAAAGGGGAGCTAGCATTGATCTGTAGCGGTTTAATTCAGCGGGCTTTGCAGACTGTACCCCAGGGACCCAGGAAATGCGAGTGAGACTGAGAAACTGAGACCTGCTTCACATAGGTAAGAGATTTTCTATGAAGATTGTAGACAAACAGAGGTTCACTGGTTGTAAATTTCAACAGGAAAGATATTCCTGGTTTAGGTCTTTGCCTGCAATACCATCAGGGGTAATCATCCAGGAAAAAGAGATGATCCTTCACCTCTTATACATGCTAGGTATCATGACTGAGAAATGTTCACAGGTGTGCTCTCTGTGTGACAGGAAGCTCATTCACACCAGAAAAACAGCAGTGGCTGATATTTGTAAGGTAAGGTACCTCGGAGATATTAAATAGAAGGAACTTGAGCTCTGGAGGATTTCAGCAGCAGATCACTCTGGTTGTCATGCACTGTAGGGAGGGTACTGTCAGAACAACTTTATAAAACCCACTTTTTTAGAAACAAGCTGTTTGCAGGGATAACTTTTCTGTATTTTTTTTAATGTTTTTCGGCCTCAGGTGTCTTCTTTTTCCTCGCTATCAAGTTTTATAACTACTTACATTTAGTTTTCAGTTGCCATTGGATTTTGGTTTCACATTCAGCAAATATTTCCAGTTATTCTTTCAGCTGAGGTTAAATGTGCTCTGTGAGCCGTAAAACACACAAACCTGTGTAAGAACGTCTGATTCCAGGACAGTTTCTGACCTGTAATAAATGGGCTGTCACTCTGTCATCAGGGAGCTTTCAGAGTGGATTTAAAGATTAAACACACACACACACAGTGAGGAAGTCTCAGAGATCATTTCATTCATCTTCATCAATCAGTGTGAGAGCAGCAGCAGCAGCAGCTAACCAACTCTTTATCTGATCACATCCTGGCACCGAGGGCACGCTGATCCTCTCAGTCTGCTGGCAGTTGGAGGTTTGCAGCAATAATCTCCACCCTGCGGTGCCTTTACGGAGGGGGAAGTCAAAACAACAGCATCTGAGGCAACCGACGGATCAGTGCAGTTATACGGGAGGGGGCTGATCGGTTCTCTGCATGGGAACAGGTAACCAAACACCTTCAACTGTCGCACCTGTAGTGGCCGCTTTCAATTTAAAACTCCTTTTTCATTTTTTATTTTACATATGAATTATATTTTTTTCATTATGTATTGAATTAAATTTGTAATATTTTAATCCTCTATTTCATCTTTGTTTGTTTGATTAGTTCATTTTTTTTCCAGTTCTCTTTATTTAGAGAACCTACTGTTAGAAAACATCAGAAATTGTTGAAATAAAGAGTTTAACAAAAACTTTCTGAAAATATTCAAATGTCCTGGACTGTTTCACATTCTGGGATTTTATGTTAGAAAACAAGATGGAATGGCCACAGGTATCTCTGGAGGAGCTATTAGTCGAAGACTCTGCAAATCAGGCCCTTATGGAAAATGGTCCAGAAGAAGGATATTAAAAGAAAGACAAAGTCCTGTCTTAACCTTACAATAAATGAACAGGTGGATGAAGGTTCTCAGGTCAGCAAAGTAATTTATGAGATGAAAACTAATGCTGCGTTTTATATGGTAAGGCAAGGCGGGTTTATTGCTATACCAGAGACGTGGGAAACCAGTCAATACCTTCATTCAATTAGGATTTAAGCAAAAGATACAGCTCAGGTGACATGCTCATTAGTTTAGGTGTTCCATTTTAAGCCTTCCTTTAACCATGCCTTAATGCAGAAGTACCTTAAGTCCTTTAAAGTAATATTTATCAGTATTCAGTTTGAGTCCAGTCTTTGAACCTGACTTTAAAGAAATGTTGTGTGATTGTAAAACACGGGTTTATTATTGAAGACTCTTTGTGATTTAAATAAAACTCAAGAACATAGTTGGTGTTTCCTGATGTTTTAATGAGATCAGCTGAGTGGCAAACTGACAGAATCAAATAAAGCTGAGCTAAAGGTGGGAAGGTATGAGAATTTCAGCGGAGGCAAGAAAAAACTCTGCTTACGTTTTAAAGTTATAGTTTGTTTTTGGGGTCCATATGCAATAGATCTGACATTAGCTTTCGACGTTGTACAGAAATATTCCAGCACAAATATTCTTTAAGGTTTGAAATGTAGAAAGTACAAAAAAAAAGCAACATGTGCAAAGATGGAGCATTTTCCACTCGTCAGATTGTGTTGTCTGAAGTGAACATTCGTCAAAATTCTCCCTCTGGGTTTGTCTGGAGACCGATCCTCAAACTGGATCAGTCTGTCAGGACCAGTTCTGTCCCGTCATATAGTATCCAGCCGGGTCAGACAGCAGACACTGGTTCTGGTGGCTGGAGGTCCTGTTTTTGGCATCAATGAGGACCAGGGGGGAGTGGGAGTAATGATTGATGATGTCACAGACTGATGGGAAAAACTGGAAACACAAAACACAATAAAAAAAAATAAGAGTGCTGCCACCTAGAGGTGGAAAACTGAAATCACATCAGTCGACTACAGGTAAAACAGAGAAACTATATAGCAGAGTGCTGCCTCCTCCTGCTGGTGAAACACAACTACTAAAAATGAGTGTGTTCCTCACAGGTCAGCATATTTGTGTACTGACCTGTAGGGGGCAGCACACTCAGATAGTTGTGTTGCTTTCAACAGGCCAGTGCTCTAGAAACTTACAAGTAAGCAGACAAGCTGACATTAGGCAACCTGTAAATCAGTCCACAACATTTGTCAGCATCTGACCAAGCAGTGTTCACAGTTGTGTTCCGTTTGAAGATGCATATTGCATCTTGTGGTTGCATGTATTTGGTCTTTACTCTGAGGAGTTAACACTAACTCAGAAGCACTATAGAGAGCGTTCTGACCAGCTGTCTCACTGTGTGGTGTGGAGGCTGCAGCGCCTCGGACTGGAAGAAAGTGAGGAGAGTGGTGAGAACGGCAGAGAGGATCATCGGGGCTCCTCTTCCCTCCATAAAAGACATTTCATCCCAGCACTGTGTGTCCTGAGCCCGTAACATCATAAATGACCCCTCACATCCCCACCATGGACTGTTCTCCCTGCTGCCTTCGGGGAAGAGACCTCGAAGCATTGGATGCAGGTCTAGCAGATTCCACAACAGTTTCTTCCCCACTGCCATTAGACTGCTGAATGTTTTGTAAAATGGGTTTTGCATTGTATTTTATTATATTTATTACATCTTATCATTATATATATATATATATATATATATATATATATATATATATATATATATATATAAAGTTAGAACTGTACATTTTCAGTTTTTTTAGTATTTTTCAAGGCTGCACTTTTAAAAAAGAAATTGTCCAGAGAGCTTTTCCAAACAAATTTTCTTTTTGTTTTACACTTGTGTAAACAAAATGACGAATAAAATATACATAAAATCAAGTCTAACTTGTATCTTGTATCTGTGAATTTTCCAATTACAGCCACCATGACTTATGTCCCTCATCAATCTTTTTCTAGCTGCAGGAAACTTGGATTTTGACATTAATTTGTCCAATAGGCCTTGAAAAAATGCTGACCTGATGTACGACTTAGTAGTACATTTTTTGCCAGTCATCTTTGCCCTAATTTTGGCCTATAAGGCAAAAAAAACCTCACCAAATCCCTCATTTAATGCCATCCACTCATTACAGCTCTCTTGTGTTGTTGCAGGTTATTTCACCTTAAAGGTATAATGGAGGATGCTCTTTTTCTGCGTGGATTATAGAAATAAGTGGTCCTCCTAATTGTCAATCATTCTGGTGATATGTTTACGTAAGGCCGTCCCCATTTTCACTTACCAGTGGTGAGTCTGACATAGTAAAAAAAAAATCTTCTTTTTAAGTAAGCTTGTATGACCGGTGCAAACAGCAACTTTTAAACAGAGTGTGCACGAGGAGATTGGGTCTCTCGCACGCATTTAATAGCCAGGGTTGTGCATGTGCATTTGTTTTTAAATTGGAGAGGTCTTTTTAGAAATTTGCAAAAAAAATCCTTCACTATACGTTTAAATCCAATTAGTTACATGAAAATCCAACATTGAATAAAGCAGAATGTTTCTGTTAACTTGTGAAGTTCTCATTTATGCATGATTTTATATTCACCTCCTGGGCTTTGAGACCAGTTCCCAGTTGGAACTGTTGGTTCTGCTGCCTGATCTGGATGTTGTAGACTTTGTCCTGGTAGAAGACCATCAGAGTGAAGGGCTGGTTGGGTAGCTGCTTGGTGCTGTCCCTCACAAGGTATGCCCCATCCTAGACACAGACAACGAGAGACAGTAGATATCTTTTAAAATCCCCTCAAAGAAAAAATAACGGGGAAGCCTCCTTCATCAGGTGGATAAAGATTTTTATTAAAAATCTATGCGATAAACTTTCTACTTTGAAATGAAAAAAAAAAAATAAATCCTTAATAATCTCTGCATCTCCCTCTCTGTGTTATTCAGATTTTTCTGTTATTAGAAATAAAAATAAAAATGGGAGGTTGCCTGAAATGTTCTTAAAATGTGTGAAATTAGATCCCGCTGATTTTATAAATATCTAAACTAAATAGTTCTTCAGCATCTTAATGAAAAATGTCCTGGATTCATACATAAAACATAATTTAGATGTTGAGTTGTTGTTACCTTGTAAACTCTTTTCAGACATCCTTCAGCCTGACCCCGGGTCACTTTACCTACATACCAGTTAGGGTCCAAACCCTGCAAACAGACACACAAAACTCCTTAGTTCCTAGGCTGATTTAGACTAATACAACAGCACCCCCTACTGCTCAAACAGAGGAGCAGAAATATTTTTTCATCATATCAGCTGAGGAAAAAAACAAAAACCCAGCTTTATTCAAATAAGAATAAAACTATCTTGTTATTTCACAACTTCACTTAGCTAATTAAATGGCTATTACACTTTGTTTTTTTTTTTTCATTTTTACATATTATTAACACAGGATTATATTTCAGGCCACCCTCCTTTTTAAAAATCAATGGATCTTTATATAAAAACTGTGAATCTGAGTTTCTCACCTCGGAGGAGGCAACTGCAGGAGGAGCAGCATGACCGGGTCCCACAATGCTGCCTCTGTGTTCGGCAATGGCTGCAGAAAAACACAGCTGCACTTCAGATACACATTTCCAGCTAAACAACAACCTAACAGCTCTTCTTCTCTAAAAACACAGAGCACCAATTAAAATAAAGGTTTGTTATTTATTACTGAATGCAGCCTGAGAATACACCATTAAACAAAGCGATTCTATGAATCTTTAATCAGAAGATAGAATGAACATGTTTGGACTTTTTTTTAGGATTTTCTTACCCGATTGGAGTTTGTGAGGCAGAGAGCCTAAAGAAGGAATGCTGGGAGGCAAACTGATCAACAGGAAAAAAAAAAAAAAACATGTCAGAGATCATTTGGATGAGAAACTTTGTACTCTTGACCTCAGCTGGACAGTCGGACGAACTGTTAACCTGAGAACATTTGCATTAAACATTCAGTTGCACAGCAGAGTGCCTCAGGGGCCCATCCTGGGCAAACTGCTCTTTGTTTCATCCACATTTCTATAGGAAAGGCTAAAAATAAAGAGATTAAAAGAAACCAAATAGTCTCAGTTACTATAAAGATCTACCTGCTGTGCTGTGGGACAGGTCCAGGGATCCCAGGGCGGGGAGGCAGACTTTTTTGAAGAGGAAACGTATTGTGTTTAGAAACTACAGGAAAATGAGCAGAATAAAGAAACGTCCTTTATTAACTCAGTAGTCATCCAAAGCATCGAGTTCAAGAAATTAAGATTTAAAGCAATGGAAAGAACTGATCTATGAAACTTACCGTCTTGTGCTTGCTGATGAGAAAAAAAGAAAGAAATTGATCAAAGTTCATTCTCCTTCATTACTGATATAATGTCTGATCATTTATTTGCACCCATATCTATACTCTGTGCAGAAACTTTTATCGATTCAGGTCAAACTAAGAACCTAGAGATAAGGTATAACATTCAACCTTGTCACAGAAGTTCATAACATTTTTCCAACTGATCTGTTCTGTAGGCTCATTAAGATCTACTTGTTGTATTCTCAATAAAGGCCACAGTGGAACACGATTCCTGTTGATATTAAAGTCTGTGTTTCCATAAGAAATTTAAAAAATGAACTCAACCAACTGCTAACAAGCTCTCAATACTGTAATTATTATTTTTTTATTTCCATGGCAGAAGCCTTTGTTTATGTGTGATTTCTTTTTAAATTAACTAATATTGTAAGATTATTTATGGGCGACGGGGAAGTGTCTTATTAAACTATTTTTGTATATTTGCTGTTTTTATTTGTTGAAGGTGGAATGTAATTAAAATGAATTGTGCACTGCCAAAGGAAGCGCATATGCAAATTAGCCTTTGGCTAACTCTGATACAATGCATCAAATGGTAACATTAAGGTTTTAATTTTACATATTATTTACACATTTTACTAATTTAATTTTACACATTTTATATATATATATATATATATATATATATATATATATATATATATAAATACATATAAAATAATAAAAAAAAAACACTTGTATATACACTTAAAATGCTAGAAGAGGGTGTCCACGAGGAGTCTGAATATTTGTGAGATCAGCAAGGACAGTGATAACCTCAGGGTGGCAGATGAAGAAAGCAATGATTATAACATGATGGAATTAATCAGTTAGAGAACAAAGGTTTTGGTTTTTATGCAAGATTCAAAAATGAAATGCCTGGTCTCCTTACCCAAAAAGAAAATGGAGAAGATTTACAACCAAAAATCTTAAAGAGTTATCAGTAACTGTGGATAACTTTAAGAATTGTGTGTCTTGATATGAAGCTTACCTCTCTGTGTCCATCAAACCTGAAAAAACAAACAAACATCAAATTATCATCAGGCTATTATTACACCAAACTCTGAACAGATTAAATCCGAGCTGGGTCGGAGGAGGACCTGCTGGGTGGCGCCCCTCTAGCAGAGGAGTTGCTCCTTCCTACTGAAGAGTTGGGAGGATGAAGAATAGGAGGTTTGGACCTGAGTGGTTCAGAGGAATCCAACGGAGGCCTGAGAGGACCAGAACATTAAGACACATGATCAGTGGTTCTTGACATCTGATCTCATACTGTGATAAAACTAAACACCAGCAGGAAACATCCATCTGTTCAGCTAACTTATCAACAAATGGCACACTTCAAAAAAATAACATATAACCTGATATAGTTTTACACTCCTGCCCTGTGAACTTCAAATTTAACAAAGTATTACAAAAAGCATAAGGACTAATCTTGGCAGCAAGCTCTTTGGATTTCTTATATAGAACATGTTTTTCTGCTTCTTTATTACTGAGCTTCAGGTCTTTAACCTGCCATTAAGACATAGTTTGTTACTGCATTATTTGAATGTAATTTGATAGTTTTTTTAATTATGCTTTTTTCTTTTGTATTTTGCAGTTTATGTGTCTGTAAAGATAGCAAATCACAACTGGTGTGTGCAAGTGTGTGTGTGTGTGTGTGTATGTACAAACCCCCAGGATTGCCCACCAGGCTGCAAGAAAGAAAGAAAAAAAAAATCAAGTTACAAACAGAGCAGCAATTTTTGGTGTTGCATTTGTTGTGTGCAACATTGAGGCTCCTCGGGGTCGAGTTACCATATTTCCTTTTTTTTTTCCAGGAAATTTGTCACTCAAAGCTTAGTTTGCTACGGAGGCAAGTTAGAAAAAAAAACTGATAAAAGAAGTTCTAGTTTTTCTTTTCTTTTTTCCTGTTTTAGACTTAAAACTCTAAAACATTTTATTTAGTGTGTTAAAAATAGAAGACTGACATTTAAATCAAGCGGGGGTTTTTTCCCCCCACTGTTCTTTGAAGTTATAAATAGTTTGTTTCCAAATGACTTTTTATTCAACTGACATATACATAAATAAACTAATAACTACATATAAAGCATTAGCATTGATATTTAAATTGCTCCTACTTATTTCTTTTACCAAGGTCTAATTTATTGCAACAAGTTATGATAAGCATTTTTTGACAGCGAGTTTAGAGGTGATTTAAGATTAGGATAATTTGTAGATGTTGTCCTACATGTATCCAGGATCACCACTGTAATTTATTCTATATTGTTCATAAATATGCAAGGTCCAAATGATACCCACATACCATCGGCAACAATTACACTTTTTTTTTTTTTACTCTAATTGTACCTTATTTTGTTTGCAAAAAACTAGTCTAAATACGAATGTTGATTCTTGGAAACCAGGCCTCTGACTTTGAAGAATACAGCTGTCAGTATAGGTCTGTAGTTTTATTTCAGTGTCTCTAGTGGCAAAAAAAAAAAAAAAAAGTATTAAGAGAACAAATACTTAAAAAAAAACCTTTAATTTTTTCCACTTGCCTTTCGAGTTAGGAAAACTTAGAACTTTCCTTTTTTTCAAACTTGCCTTTCAGGGCTTCCGTAGTTTTTGGACTGATTGATAATGTTACATTTATAAAGACTGAGTTGAATAATGGTGGTAAATGTTTTAGCTGCTTTATGAGATCAAATGATTAAGTTTACTGAAATAAAACTTACTCTGTCTGCTGAATTGAACTGATGTCCTGAGAAAAAGAAGATCAACATTCAGCTCCAACAGAGTAGAGGATGGGATATGGAAGACTTGAAATCAGCCTACAGTCTAGATTCAGGGTTTTTACCTCTGACGGGGGAGTGAGTGCTTCTTGTGTCACGACCAGGTTTGCTGTCACGGCAAACCCTTGGCGGCCCTGGGGGAACTAAACATGAATATGTCAACAACAGCAATTATATAAACGCCTGTTGTTGGTTTTCAAGAATCATATGACCTGAAACAACCTGAAAAATCTGCTGATAAATGCAAAATGCTGGTTCTCCAACTGACAAAAAAAAAAAGCCCTGGATCAAGTTGATCTGTGAAACTTACAGTTTCCTGATGGTCGTGCAGGCGCATGGGGGGACGGATCTCGTCTGGACAGAGACTCTAAAGACTGCAAAAACACAAAAATAAAAACACCATAAAGAACTCACAGCTCATAAATGTCCAAACCCCCTTTCAAAAAATGTTTTTGTTTTTTTTGTAGTTAAGCACATGTTTAGCTATATTTATTCCCTATATTAGCTATATTTATTAAACTCAAAAAGGCAGATATTGGGGGGAGGAAAGCAGGAGAGAATATGCCTTAAACATGATGAGAAGATTTTTTTTTTATCAGGCGTTTCCAGCTAAAATTCAAATTAATCACCAGCCGGATGGATCAATGCATTTTTAACTATAAGATGTTGTTTTGTTGTTTGTTGTATTAATTACGATGGTCAGTGAAGTCAAGCCATCATGAAAATGTTTTTGAGCTAAAATACTTTATCAGCATTCGTGTCATTTCCTAAAATACATCAATTCATGCAGATCAGGCTTTAAAATACCCCAATAAAAGATTAAACTGATCTTTAAGTTTGGTTGTGATGGTAAAAAATGAAATAATATTAAAAAAGTGCCTGTCATAGAAACCTGGGACTCCAAACCAGACAAATTAAAAACAATAAAAAAGGAACAGCAAGCCAACAAAGTGCCAGTACTCTAACATAAGATTGAGTGTGAATTCAAGTATCAATAAATCATCAAAATATCTCTCTGAAATAGAGACTGTTTGTGATTCCCTGTAATGAGTAGAATATCATGAAATCATTGCGACATCTGGAGGAAAATTAGCTGGAGATCCTTGATGCCTGATCCCTTAGAAAACTCTGCATCAGGGACTTTTAGTCATTTAAACCTGATTGAATCGAATGGAGCAGGAATTATTTTCGAAAAGCTTGGTCAAGCTGCATTAAACAGAACACTGTTACTGACCATATCCAATTCCATCTCACCATAAATGTGGTCAAATAAATCATAATTCTATCATATCACAGCATATATACTGTAAGCTGTTCATCTCCATGGTGCTGCATGGTTTTATCAGGGTAATGTTTTGTACCGGTATTCTGATAAGGCTGTAATAGAAGAAAGTCCTGTGGATCTATAACAGATAAATATTTTACTTTAACACCACACCCTTATAAAGGGCCTCTACATATTTTATACCAAAAAAAAATTTAAAATGATTTTGGAAAGGCCTGGCTGAGAAAGAGGATTGGGCTGCCTGTGAATCTGACCAACAGATAATATTGCAGCAATACTAAAATATTACTAACCTGACTGGTCCGATTGTTTAGTACTCAGGTTTAGATCTACACATTATTAATCTGGGACTGCTCCGATTAAAATCTGTTTGGGGAAAGGTGGACCTTCAGTAATGCTTTTCAAATTGATAAGGTGAAGCGACAGTCATTGCCTACCAAAGATTGGTTTTACCCATTTAGCGTAACAATAGAAATAGCAGCGAACATTATAACAAACCACAACCGCGTACGCTTGTGATGCTTTTGCCTTTCCGCTTTCAAAGATGTGAATTGTGACAAAACGCATGTGTCAGCAGAAGCTAGGCATCTGTCCTCATGTGGCATCATGTTTATTTTGGTTCAGCTAGGGGCTCATATGTCTCACCTAAATTGTTTTCCTAGTGGTTAGAGCAGTGCGCTTGTGCTCTGAGAAGGTTACAAATACCCGGTTTGATCCCCACATGCTGCACTCTGGGTTCCTGAGCAAAACCCTTAAACCCCACACTGCTCCCTGGCGCTGCACAGTGGCAGCCCACTGCGCCCCAAGGGCATGGGTTAAATGCAGAGAGTGAATTTATCTAATGTGAGATCACTAAAGTAAATTATAATTATTAAACTGACTGGCTGACCTATATTGGGTTGGAGTCGAACAGTTGAAGCAGGAGTGGGACAAGATGGACTGTCGTGTTTTCGTGAACGCAAAAATGCCCTGAGAATTCAGCTTTCTGGTGAACCTCAACCTTCTGTCCGCTGTGAATAACTTTAGGTGTTAGTGGAAGGAATAGGAACATCCTAAAGTTAAACAAACTGGACTAAAACATGATAACAAAGATAAAAGAATCCATAAACGCTTGACGCTTGACTGTCTGCATTTAAAAAGAAGTCAAATTAAAAAATCTTTAAAATGTGCTATTCTAAATTAGTATTTTATGTTTCTTTGTATTTTCCAGTTTTGCAGGTTATGGTGCTTCAGTTTGATGCTTTTCATACTCACCATATGGCCTTTGGGTGCAGAAAGTGTAGAATTTGATGGGCGAGGTGATACAGCAGGGGGCTGTCCCCTGGTTGGCACGTTGCTATCCCTCCTATCTATATACACACACAAAACACACAGCGTTTAGTTTATCCACATTCAGCCTGGTGACTCCAGAGCAGCTCAGGCTGGATTTGGGTTAGTTTGTTCTGAACTCTTGATGATGCTGGAAGCTGAAGAATGCCCTGAACATTTTAAACCCAACTACCTCCTTAGCTGCTGACCTAAACCCCATTAACATGCATGTAGCAGTGGTATGAGTACCGATGTAATCCCCGTCCCCAATGGGCTGAGAAGGGCACAGTTTGTGAGTCAGATCATCTGCGGGTTCAGAGGGAGGAGGCTCGTAGTCGTTACCCGAGTCCAGCTCTTCGTCTGGGGACTCGTAGTCTCTATCTTCATCGCTGTATGGACTCTCGTAGTCATCAAAGTCTTCATCATCCTGTTAGAACAGATCACCTATGATTTAAACAAAACACTGCAAACAAAATCTCACCAGGTTATCATAAGAACTAGAGTAAATGACATTATGTATTTCATTCTATGAGCCAAGTAATCCTAAATCATACAGTTGTGTTTTTGCACGATTTCATGGAAGTCAAGGATCTCAGAGCAGCAACTTCTTCTGCTTATCTACCTGTGAAGAATTTTAAGGTAATTTAAAACTATTTCAAGTCCACCGTTCCTCACAGACATTCTGCTAAACGCAGGCATGCCCTAACTCGATCATTAAGGGTCCCTGTCCTGCTGGTTTTAGACATTTCCCTGCTTTAGTACAGCTGATTCTGATGATTGCAATTCAGCAAAAAACTGTTAATCAGCAATCAATGAAAATCAGTTTTGCTGATGCAGGGAAATCTCTAAAACCTGCAAGACAGCGGTCCGACTTTGAGCATCCCTGTGCTAAAGTACGTTGGTAATAAAGCAGGGTAAAGTAGGATCTACAAACTCCTGTACCATTTCTACTACTACTGGAAAAAAAATAGAGGCAGTTTGTCTGAAATCAAACTGCTTTTATTTTTCTTCCAGTAGCAGATCTCACAACCTCATATTCTACTTCAGACTGAAGGATTCTTCATTGAGGTTTGAATGACCTCTGAATAACACCAGAGAAACCCAAATATGATAAATCAATCTCAGAGAAGTAAAAAGAGAGCAGATAAATGTAGGACTCACAAACTCGTCTTCACCCCATCCTCCATCTGTGGTCATCTCTGTATAGCAAAGAAAACAAAACACTTTAGAAAGCTCCCATGTGACTACAAAGACATTAGGCCATGTATTAAGTCGCTAAGTTTCTCTGTATTCATAGACTGGAATAAAGATCTGTGGTTCTGAAGCCCAGTGAAAGAGCACTGCAAAGCTGAATATGAGCCCAAGTGGAGCAACTGGGAGTTGGATACTTTCTGGTTCCTGTCTATCTGGCTTCTGAGCCCAGTAAGTCTAACAGTGTTCCTTTAAAGTCCTGGTTTGCAGAATTAGTGTAATAATAGTCAAAATGAGCAGTAGGATGCAACATCCTACTCCTATCACTTTCACAAAGTCTTTCATTCTTTTCTGTGTGGGCTCATAAAATTGTGATAATCCAACTGGACCCAACCACAATAAGTTCTTCATTTATCAAAGATATGTTATAATATATTGTGTGTGCATTAATGTTTTCTTCATTAAAAAAGCGAACAAATAGAAGGATCCAAGGTTAATATTGGATCTCTTACTTATCAGGAAACAGATCATGAGTTTTCATGCTCATGAGAGAAACATGAGAAAGTAAACAAGCTCACCTGGTTCATTATACTTTGTTGTTTGTCTGTGGAGGAGAACAACAGGGTTGGATTTCATTAGGTTCTGTTGTTAGTCAGGCACAGTTATTAATCTGGTTCAGCTTTCATCTGGTTTAATTATTATTCTGGTGTAGCTATTTATCAGGTTCAGCTATTTTAATCTGTTTCAGTTATTAATCTGGTTCAGCTTTCATCTGGTTTAATTATTATTCTGGTGTAGCTATTTATCAGGTTCAGCTATTTTAATCTGTTTCAGTTATTAATCTGGTTCAGTTCTTAATGTGGTTCAGTTGTTGGTCTGGTTCAGTGATAAATTGAATTTAATTGTCATATCCTGTACTGTTATAAATCTGATTTCAGTTATTATTCTGGTAAAGTTTTAACCAGGTTCATTTATTAATAATGTTCAATTATTAATCTGGTTCAGGTATTAATCAAGTTTGGTGATTAATCTGGTTCAGATATTATTGTGTCATGATCTTGGCGCTAATGACTGACTTAATTACTAATTTCATTCACCTGTCTAACTCTGCCCGGTTTTTCATTACTGCTCATCTTATCCACCTGCTCCTGCCTCTATTTAGGCTCACTGCTACTAGTCATTAGCGCCAGATCATTCTTGAGCCCGAGCCAGTGAGAAGATTATTGATGAGCCAATGGTGCGATGGTTTCAGCATTACCTTAGTGTTTCTGATTTCCTGTTCTACCACCACTGAGCCTGCCTGTTCCCGTCGGATCTGTTTGCCTGACCTGTCTTCTGATCTTCTGATCTTCTGGGTCTGAATCCTGAGCACAGGCTTTGGCTTAGCCATCTGGAATAGCCTGTCTTCCTTTGTCTGCTTGGATTTGATCTCCTGCTTGTTCTAAGTTCTTTGGGGTTACAGCGTCTGAGCGGTGCCTACCATGTCTTGTTGTCAGCTGACCGGCTGGAATAAACCTCGTTCTCTGGGTACGAACTGAACTATAAAACCAGGTTAGTGCCTCACGTGTTCATAATCATCCTTCAGATTATCGTGGTCACTAACCTGTGTTTCTTTCCTGCAGAGTTTCCTGCCTTAGACGCCCTATCTGCTATAACTGCAGATCCAACGTTTTTAATTAACGCTTTTGAGTAATCCTACAGTCTGTCTACTTTCAATACTGGGTCTTCTGTTCTGAGCCGTGACGTATTCAGGTTCAGTTATTAATCAGGTTCCGTTATTATTCTGGTTCAGTTATTCATCAGGTTCAGTTATTCATCAGGTTCAGTTATTAATCTTGTTCAGCTATTAATTATGTTTTAGTAGGCTCAGTGGGCTAACTGGTTGAGTGGGATTATGCAAATTTGCTTAATCTTTGTGTAGAATATTAATCTGAAAATTAATAAAAAATGAATTAAACAACAGAAGCATAGAAGATGTTGTATCTTTGGGTAATAATCAAATATGTTGAAAAAACTGTTTCCTTTAACAGCTGAACACAGTGATCCAATAAGATCAGAGGTGGAGCATGTGTCCCAGTAAAGAGCAAATTATGTTTAGAGTAAAAAAAATCACAAATTCTTAACCAAGTAGGCTTCTCAGTAGAGGAAAAGGTGAATATGTCCTGGATAATTGCTGTCCTCAGCAGGTGTTTACATCTATCTGAGTCACAAAGAACTCCCTGGAACAGGTTTGAGCCTTAAACTGAGGTATCAAGTGAATGCCAAAACGTCAGTTCTTTGACAAGAAGGAGTTAAGCTGAAAATTGAAAGTCAGGGTTTACTGGCCCATCTTCGTTCAATGGCCGTGAGATATAAATCATGCATAAAAAAACAAGATCCTGGATACAATCTGCTGAAATAAGCTTTCTCTGCAGGTCACCTGGACTCCTGAACACTCGGAGGAAACTCTGAGTGGTGCTAAAAGCTTTAAAAGTGTCGCTTTTCATTGTATATTCTCGATTTGTGTGAAACATAGTTACATACTTTTTTCCAAAAATGCTTGATTTGGGCACTTTCTTGCTGATTTCACTGCTGAGCTTAGAGATCATTCTGCGCAAACAGAAACATACAAATTAGAGTCAAAAACACCTCAGAAAAAACATTAGACAGGAAATTGTTTTAATTGAAGGACTGAGCTCTGCAGGACATACTGAATGTAGACATGAATATAACAATAAAACAAAAGTAAATTATGTTAATATTTTAAACAAACATTATGGTTATTAAAAAAAAACCCATCAGATTACATTTTAAAGGCTCATAATATGTTTGTTGCTAAAAACGAGCTTTTAGAGATTTTATCCTAACAGTTTCTTGGAAACACAGCAATCCAAATACCTTCACAGAAAGAAACCAAGGAGCAGAAAGAAAGTTTCTATTTATTTTGAGGTATATACTTACGGAGCATGAATCTTAGGAAATTTCTGGAGGTCGTTATCTGTCAGATTCTGTAAAAAAAAAAAAATCAAAGCAAAAAAAAAAAAAAGTGAAGTTGATGCTAAATCAGGAAGATTGGACCGATAGCTTCATCCATCGCTCTTTCTCCACTCTGCTGCCTGACAAAGGACGTTACTATAGGATTTTCTGATCTTTGGTTTTTAACTCACCACAAATCTCGCACCATTGATGGAATTCTTCAACACAACTTTATCACAGCCCGGAAGATTCATCTGAAAAACAAACACGGTTTAATCTTCAAATCTTTAAAAGCAAAAAAACATTTGATTTCCATCTCAAACCTAAGAAACCTATGAAGAGATGATAAAGACCAAACAATTGTAAAAAAAAATCTGGCTGCTGAAAGAAATGAGAGATCAGAATAATAGACGGATGGTCTATATTAAGGGACAGCGACGTGCACAGATAAGACCCTATGTGGGGCTGTAGCACCGGCGCTTTTTTCTTTTGTGCAAAAAAGTGCCCGTCTGAAGTCATTTTTTTTTCTTCCTCTTCTTCATTTTATTTATTTACTGCATATATCATCTGGAAAAGTAAAAATTCTGAATCTAATAGCCTATTTTACCAGTGCACCACATCTTTTGTAAAATGTCCTCCTCCCCACCTCTGGTTTATGTATTTTATTACAAATACAAGAGATAAGTTAACTATGTCTGTTGAACGTTTCATTTAAATACATATTCAATATACATATTCACAATTAATTAGTTCTTAAAAAATGATATTAATAACTTAAATGTGAGGCATGCAGGCTAATGTATTTTAAATAATAGTTACTCAGAATTCTGAAGATAACTAATGTGATCATTTGGTAAATTTGTCAGCGTAACGTGCTTTGTTAGAACAAAAGTTTAGATTGTGCTTATATTTTTAGACCAAAGTACAGGCTTATGTAATCACGATGAACATGTTGTGTTTAGTGTCTAAAAATAAAAAATAGGGGTGATGTAGGGTTGAAATATGATGAGGATAGTACATCTTAAAAGCTGGTTGTGAGCCTCTAATAGAACTTTAAAATATCTAAAATAACAAGTCACATCACTGATCAAATCTATTTTTTTTTTAAATGCCTATAATGAAACCTTGTGTTTTCTCCCATTTAAGCTCCGTCAAAATGGTTAATGATTGGTGTGTCTAATAAAATCTTTTGTGTGTGTTTTTTTTTGTGTGTAAAATGTCTTAGAAGAGAACACTCGTTTAAGGTACACTGTTTTTCTGTCTTTTTAGTGAAATAAACTCAAGCAGACAGTCAAAGTGCTTGTGCAATTTGGGCAATGATGAGCAAAATGAAAGGTGTTAGTCTTTTTTATAAAAAAAAAAAAAATAGTTTTTCATCAACTTTTTTATTTTAATTGGGTTAGAAGTTATGTGTTCCAGCAATGTTTTGATTAAACCAACAAATCTAATTTGGCAGTGTTTTTACCCAATCTATATTGATAAAAGGACAAACCAATACACACTGACCAAAATACTTGTTAAGTATTATCGCAACTTTCAAAAGTCTAAGGTGGATGTTGACCCAACAACCTTAGGAATGGAAGTCAATGTCTTACAGCAGCTAACAGCAATGGTAACTGCACAATGGAAAGCAATACTACTCAATACTGATGTTACAATTGTACCAACCATTAGCTTGCTCAGATTTTGATCATTATATTGTTTAAAGCTACAGTGTGTAACTTTTAGCGACATCTAGCGGTCAGACTGCAGACTGCAGCAACATGAACATATCCCCCCCACCGCTTCTCCCCCCCAACAGTACGGTGAGCGTTACGGGACAAAATGTCTTCCACGACGTCCGCATCACCTACCCTCTCAAGTGATGAGGTTTGTTTACATAGATAATTTTACAGATAGTATTTCATTAGTCTGTGTAGGGTATAGATTTCATGTAGACTTAAGATAATAAATATACCCGTTATTTTTTCTACATCGTTGTGACGTTTTGGCGATCTCGCAATCACTAGTTTGTTGGCTCTGCGCTGCCGTAGCGCAAAGATGTCTGCCTCCATGGCTGCGAGACCCGCTCCTATGTAATTATAAATAACGAATTCTAAGGCAACGCAAATATTAAGGTTAAGAGGCTGAGCTCGTAGATGATGATAAATAACATAGTTATGTATAATATATTACATTTCTGACTGTATATCCCTGTAATTATTACACACTGTAGCTTTAATCTCACCAAAATTGTTTTAACCAACTAAATTGGATGTTTTCCCAACTAATCTATTCTTAGAATATATCCAAACTCTATCAAACTGACCGCAACTGTCCCACAAACTCCCACTTCTTGAATGAATACTGAAGCTTTGAGATGCCTGTCCAAGTTCCGGGCGAGCTGAACCACTTCCCGAAGTGGTCAAGTGGTATGGAGGGGTGGCGAGGCATCAGACGTCACCGATTTTGGCGCCTGAACTAAATGAAGCAAGCATTGTTATGTGCTTCTCGGAGACACCCCCTCCATTACTCAACGCACGCCTCGAAGCCTCAGGTTATCTGACCTGGCTTCGGATTCCTGGACCTCTGAGCCTGCCTGTTCCTATTCCCGTTCTGAACATAATTAAGAAAAGACAATACTAGGGTCAAGTAAAGGAACGCGTTTGGAGGGACCAATCTTAAAGATCCGAACTAATATATTTTTTATAATAATGATAATAATAATAAATAAAAAATGAGCCTTGTGATAGGAGTTATATGTGGGTAGAAATCCACTAATGCTTTATCATTTTCATTTTAAAATCTGCACAAATACAAGCGTCATTAAAAAAAAAAGGATGGAATGAAATGTGATTTGAGATGCAGTTTTTCATGCACGCTTGTAGGCATTTCATGTGGTTTTAGAGGGCTACCTGGTGCACCCAAGCCACAAATTGGTGACCCTTGATCCACTCGATTCTTCATCTATTAGCTGCAGTAAATTTACATCAAAGGCATCTTTATTTTGTGGCTCTTATTCAAGCTTTCTTTTTCTTTGGACATTAATATACATATCGTACGACTTTAATAACACCCTGTACTGAATCGAACTAGACTTTTTTTCATATAATAGAAGCTCAAATATCTACATTAAGTTAAGGTAGGTTAAATATCTCCCATTTCCAGAAGCCATCGGACTGCTGATGGTTTTTGGAAGTAACGCTACTCCTCCGCCGTTTACTGTAAAGTGCAAAAAAAATAAAAAAATCTGTGAATTACGAACGTTCAAGAAACCAACTTCAACTGGTTCTGTCTTCATAGGAGACGGATGATTAGGCAAACATGAAACAAAATAGGGGAAATCCCACTGGTATTTGACCTTTCATCCAACAACATCCTACAATCATACCTTTAAATACACAGCTACATTTTTATCATTATGCTGAATACGTTATCAGAATTGGAAGGACCAATGCAGAGATATTTGGCCATAACAAACTAAAAGTTAGTAGATGTTGGTCGCGAGGTCGGAAACATCATAAGTTGGGACGCCACAAACTCCTCTATGTACCAGAGCCTTCTAAAACCAAATGTGAGTCAGTCTTTCCAACAACCAAAGTATAGTCAAAACTGGTTCTTCAACAGAGCAAGGGTCCAAACACAGCAGCAGATTTTTAACAGAACAACTGAAAATAGGAGAAAAGAAATCAAGGAGATGCAATGGTCTGGTCAAAGACCAACCTAACTGATAAAAAAAAACTGTATTGGAACTTTCAGAGAAGCTGAGGCCGCTTTAAAAACGACTTTGCAAAAATTTTCCACACTGATGTGAGAGACTGAAAAGTCGGTGAGAGGAATGAGGTTTACACCCTTCTGAAGAACAACCTGCAAAAGGAGCCTCTAGAATCTTTAGAAAAGTGTTCCACCTGCTGCTGAAGGATGTTCTATTTTTATGGTTTGACCCTTAAAATCCTTGAAGCAGAATACCGATTTGCTTCCTTTTTGCCTTGCCCTTACATAAATGTACTTCTTGTTCTTGCTGGGTTCAGCATTAAAGAACATTTTGCTCAGTGTTAGCAGTTCAATGAGCAGGAAGCAGTTCCTGTTTACTGTGTCTTTATGGAGCTGAAATTACTCTTGGAATAAAGTAAAACTGGATCCAAGTCTCACGCAACGCCATAAAGCTGTCACAGTAGGACTCAGAACCTGTCCTTGATTCTACAGGTGCTGATTTCAGGCAACTTTTAAGTCCAAGAAGGCTGAAGTCGTGTGCTGCACAAAGAAAGAAAGCTCCCTGTTTCCTCACCCGCTTCAGGTAGTCAGCCAGCTGCTGGGGGTTCCACCCCAACACCTCCGTCTTGTAGGGCACCGAACTCATCCTGCGTCCTCCTCAAGTCTCCTCCGACCCTCGAAGACACAACTTCTATCCAGCTGATGTCAAAGCCAACACTTTTTACGGTCTACTGACAGGAGACCAACATCACCCTGAAAGTTTCTCTGGTTTCTATATTTGCTTCTGCAGCGCTCCGTTCCTCTGCTGCAAGTCAGTCCTCCACAGTTTCAGTCTTTCCAACCACTTTGAAGGCCTGGTTTCTTCACGTCTTCCTGTGATATGCAAAACCGAACTCAGAAAAACAAAATAACGGCCAAGTTTCTTCAGCTTTCACTTCCTTAATCCAACCCACCACCTTTTATTCTATAGACCTCTTCTAAAGAAACAAGAAGGTTCCAAAGATAGGACAGACTTGTCACTAAAAAGACTCAAGATGGCTTCCTTCTTTCTGTCTGCCTCTCTTTTCTCTCCTCCCTCCCTCCCTCTTTGAGGAAGTGAGCTTGCAGAGGGGGGTTGAAGCAGCATCATCCTCCTTCCCCTGTATGACCACAGAGCGAAACAGTCGCCGCAGCTGCACCCACTTGCTGCAACTTGGCCGCCGTCAAGACGCGCTGCTGAGAAAATATATCAGAGGAAGTAAGAGGTGACGACTGACTCTGGATCAGTGTTAATGCTCTGTACCATTTTTGCAACGCCTACTTTAAAATGAAAGTTTTTTCGGCATTTCAGCATCCTAAAGGTCAAACTGCATATCCAATGCAAAGGAAATATATAATTAATTAAACTTTTTTTGATTTCACATTTGAGAAATTTACCTCTGCATTCAACCCATCCACTTTTGGAACAGTGGGCTGCCATCGTGGGGCGCCCAGGGAGCAGTGTGTGGGAGTCGGAATCTCAGAACCTCAGGATTCCAAGCTCTATGCCCTAACCACTAGGCCACCACTACCCATCAGGATCATTTCTGTGGACAATTGATGCACATTAAGGGAAGCAGACCTGCACCCGCAATGTGTTTATACAGGGAAAAAGACTAAAGAAGTTATCTAGACCAGTTGAACCATCAATTATATACAAGTCACTTTATTCAACTGTTATTTCAGTTCGATTTAGTCTGAATGTAAATAAACATTGACAGACATCGGGGGTGGAAAAAAAAGGTATATTAAAGTAGGTCAGATACAAGAAATATTAAAAACAGAACATCATTGATATAAGTGAGAAATGAATAAAACTGCCTTTTCAGCAGTAATTCAGAAAATGGGGAATAGAAAAATAGGAATATTATTAATGGTTTCAAACCCTTTAATAAGTAATGTGGTTTATAAATCACTATTAAACCATTTATGAATTAAATGTGAAGAGGCTGGCTAGTTCAAGTGGTATGTCACATGACTTGCACACAGGAGGTCCCGGTTTGAATCCCTGCTGGGGGGGGGGGATTAGCTGTCAGTGTGGGTCCTTAGGCAAGATTGATCACATTAATCTCATACTTGTATCTACTTTGTTAGTTGCTTTGGATAAAAGCTGCTAAATGCATAAACATAAACAAGATCGCATGGACTATACATCTATACTCACCTGCTGGAAGGAGAGCATTCATCAGAGAAGTAGACAATCTAACATTTTGGCCTGAATGCCAATCACTGTGCAGTTAAAAACAATCACTGTACATCACCATGAACACACCATTTCTACATTAAAACACAATGACGGCAGCATTATGCTGTGGGGATACGGGGAAGCTGGTCAGTGCTGATGGGAAGGAGGATAAATCAAGGATAATCTTGAAGGAAAACCTCTTAGAGGATGTGGAATAGCTGGAGTTGGGCTTGATGCTCATATTCCGGACAGCATTATTCATGGTTTTTGGTCACTTCTGGGTTTTCATTGGAAGTAATTTACTCTGTTCCAGCAAGTAAACATTACATGTTGTAAGTACTGCTTTCATCAGTTGTGGAAAATGTTTTTCTGCAGCTAGAATTTCCTTATTTTGATATGTAAGGAGTCTTCTGAGAGTTTTATCTCTGCACGAGGGTCAGAAGCTTGAACCAAACCATGACAAAACACACACTGCAAAAAAAATATATATAAATAAGTCTTTTTTTTTTCTTAAAATAAGTGCATTTTTTCTTAAATTGAGGAGGTAAGTTAGACACTTTGCCAATGAAATGAGACAGTTTGCACTTAAAACAAGACAAAACAATTGCATTATCTTATTTCAAGTGCATGTTATCTAATTATCTTATTGTAAGAGTAAAAATACTAATTTACTAGCAAACAATCTTATTTACCTGCTCAAATTAAGAGTAAATAAACTTTATTTAAGACATTTTCCCTTATTTCTAGATTGTTTTTGCAGTGCAGGAATGAGGTTAGCAAATACAAAAATGAGGCGAACATACAAAAAAACTGCGGTTAAATATAAAGGCTGCCATCACAGATAAAGGGAAAGTGCAAATGTACTACAAACACATAAATTATGCCAACCCAATAAACACATGACACAAAAAAAGGAAGTAAATATATATATATATATATATATATATATATATATATATATATATATATATATATATATATATATATATATATATATATATATATATNTATATATATATATATATATATATCACTCTAAAGCTTTAAGGTAGCTCTATGTAACAATTTGACCAACAAATTTTAATGTACCAGCCACCAGAAACGCTTATCACAAAGTTTGCATCAGGAAACTTCTGCCTGTAAAAGTTTCATTTCCTTTGGTAAGCTGGTGGTTAGAAATGACCTGAAATAGTATAAACAACTATAACCGTAAAGTTATTTTACTACAATTAAAAAAACCATTAATATCCAACACTGCCATATGGTTAAAAGATGATTTGTTTAATTCTTCAGTGCTTCAGCTCTATTTGAATTGGTTTCCCATAAATATATACGGTTATTGTTTATAACATTACTTTACTACATTACTAAATATTATTGAAACAGTTTTTTTTAAATCTATTTATTCTTATGGTAACAATTAATTAATTAATTAGTGTTTAAATGACTGGTCATGGTTAATTGTTAATTAGTTTCCCAGGAACCTTGCTGTGCACTTCCACCTCTTACAGTCATGGTGAGCTTGCTGCCACTGAAACGACACTCTGAGTGACTCTACTGTTACATCAGAAGTGGGGATCTGCAGCAGGATCATAGAAGCTGGATCACAAATGCTTCCTGTGGGTGAGAACTCAGAAACCTGCAGCTGGGAGAGAGAGGTGCATTCTGGGACTGCAGACAATGGGGAGTCTTAACACGCAGAAGTGGTTTCAGCTTACAGTAACAGGTCTGCTGAAGTGTAAACATGTAAATTTAAATTCAAATATGATACTACACCACCAACGAAGATATTATCAAAGCATTAACCCTGATTTACAGGCAGCCTTCATGCTGTTATTTATACAGCCCTGTTGGATACTTAATCTGTGTAATCCAACTTTCTCAGTTACACATGAGAAGAAATCATTTTTGTTTTGAGACTGGGAATGTGGAAAGGAACATAATACAACTAGATTGTAGTTTAGCTGAGCATAAAACCCATAACCTGTATATCTATCAGACCTCGGTGGCAGAATTCCCCCACAGACCGATCTATAGTACAAAATTAGACTAACATTGTCTAAGTTATCTAAGTTAGTGGAGTTTTCTTAAAATAACTGTTTTCTCTTGATTTGAATGGGTAAGTAGAACAATTTACCAATTGAATGAGATAATGTATGTGTAAAATAATTTTTTTGAATCTAATCCCTTATTTCAAGTGGATAATAGAATAGAATAGAATAGAATAGAATAGAATAGAATAGAATAGAATAGAATAGAATAGAATAGAATAGAATAGAATAACATATGGAATAGAAAATCCCTTTATTGTCCCACAATGGGGAGATTCTAGTGTTACATCAGAAAAAAGATTCTAGAAAAAATGGTCTCACCAATGTGGACTATTTTATGGTTGATTTTATGCATTCTTAGAAGAATGCATAAAAATAACACAAAAGTGAAGAGTTAAAAGATAAACAAATAAAATACTGTACTGTAAAGTGTTTTAACAATATAAAACTGTGCACCTGGAGAATAAATAACCAATACACAGCTATGAATAATTTGACAGTAATGGATATTTGAAAATAGCAGCAACATCAGAGATGTGCAAAATAACAGCTGCATGTTGTATAACTGACTAAGGTAGAAACTGTGAAAAAATCAGCATGAATGTAACAACTTACTGAGGTTGTAAGGTCTTACAGCTGCATGGAGGAAGGATCTGTGATAACGCTCCCTGGTGAATTTAAGGTGCAGCAGTCTGCCACTGAAGGAGCTCTCCAGTTCTGTGACAGCTTCATGCATGGGGGCGAGACATTATCCAACAGAGATGTTATTTAGTTAGGATCCTCTTGTTTCTCTCCTCCACTAAGTCCAGAGGGCATCAAATCACAGAGCTGTCCTTCCTGATCAGCTTATCCATCTGCTTTTTCTCAGCTACAGATAAACCACTGCTCCAACAGACAGCTCATTAGAAGATGGCTGATGCCACAACAGGATAATAGAAGATCTTTAGGAGCGCCCCAGCTCTCCAACAGATCTCAGTCGCCTCAGCAGGAAGAATCCACTCTGACCTTTCTTGGATAATATTTTTAGATCAGCTCGTGTAATGATCACTTTATGAATCACATTAGGTTTTTTTCTCTACAATTGTCTTTGGGCATCTTATGTCTTTTACTAATATGTCAGTGTTTTTCATAATGTATTCTAGGAGATAATGATCAGTAAGTTATTTTGATTCTCTATCAGTACTTTGGGGTTTTTTTCTGCTTGTTGGCGGCAGATCAGTTAGACACTGCTACAGCATGAAGGTTAAGCAATGCCCAGTCAAAAATTAAACAAAAAAACACAAAGAAAGCTTTTAAAATTATAAAGACTAATCTGACAGACTATAGGAACATATGTTTGCAACCCAAAATAATTTTAGAAACTGGATCGGAATTTTCGGTTTGTGCCGTCAGGCTTCATCTTTAGAAGAGTTAAGGACAAAATTAGCACATATATTCAAAGTAGGGGGGAGTGTGATAATGTGGTGGAACAACACAACATCCTGTGATGATGATGATCTTCCCTAACATTAGCTCTGTGAACAAGAAGGTGCCCTCTGTCACATCACCTGGAGCCATTAAACCTGCTGTGTTTTGGGACAATAATTGCAAGATGTTTTTAAGCATAAAGATGAATAAAACTTATTTTAATTTTTACTTTAGAAAATGCTAAATCACTGAAAAGTGTGTTTAATACCAGCTAAAGGTTTGTTTCTTAACAATTTATCTTTGAAAATCATCTCCAGTGGTTTGCACATTCTACATGTTTAAATACAACTAAATAACGTAAATACTGAGTTAAACTTTGACTTAATAAGGTGCAGGCCTGTTTCAGCAATGGCATTGGACCACAAATAATGCCCACATCCTTACTGAAAGTGAGCGTCAGCAACTATGGTTGCTAAGCTGAACCTTATCAACAACTCCACTGCAGCACAGGAAATATAGCATATCAGCCTTTTATTTCCTCAAAATTCTGATAATTATGGCTTATAGACCATGAAAACCCACAAAAACATGGTCAGAAATGTGAATATTGTAGAAATGTTATGCAATGGAAACTCATGGTGTCACATGCTTATCAAATAACTTTCTATATTCATCTCCAAAGTTTTCCTGAGCCTCCGCATGGTCTCATTTCAAATCAATAGGGGTCAAGGTCACCTAAAAGACAAATATTGACATTTTTCACAGGTTAAACCATGAAAGCTCATTGTTTAAGCAGCTGGTTGTTCATAGAGTTCTGTATCCAACTGGATCAATAGAAAGTTGAGAGGAAGGAAGAAGTGTTTTATGAAAGGGGCGCCACCAGCAGCGATACCCACAGCCTAAAGAGGATTGTTTAAAGTCTGGAGGGTGAATAGAGATGAGCAGCGTCAACATTGCTGGATGTCCAGTGTGAAGTTTTTAGATTGCTTTGTCATTGGTTGGATCTCTTCCTCTGGGTTTTCTAAATATAAGTCAAACAAGTCATCTACCAGGACCTATGTGATCACTTTACACCGACAGGCTTTACAGGGATGATTATTTAGAACTCGGCACTTACATCACCAAAGGAAACAGAAGTTGGTCCAATGACTGTGATAATATTGAGCTCATCGGGTCTGACCTGAGCCCCCATAGAGAATCTAATAAACTTTGTTAAGAGGAAGATGAACGGAAGGCTGCGGTCAAAGAAAATTTAGCTTTTACTTAACAGCAGAACCAAAGGCGGGTCGACTGCTGGTAACACCAGCAGCAGCTTCACGTAAAAGGAGCACAGACCAGGTAGCAGAGAAATAAACGTACCTCTCAAACAACCCACATTTCTGTCTGAAATATTCTTGAACATCTCAACTCTCAAGTTATAATTCCAATTTTCTGAGATTTTGTTTTCATTGTGTAATGAATCGTTTTGTGAAATGGACGTAAAAGAAAAAAAAAATACTTCAAGCCTACTTATATTTTCAGCAAGGTTGTTTTTATTTGTTTTCTCATATGCAAGTTTCAGATCAAGTGATCAGCATTTTTTTTTCAGCTTCAAATATAGAACCTCAGTGAAGTCGGTTTCAGCTGGTTCTGGTCAATAATCAGCAGCTCTGAGGAAACAAACTTCCTCGTCTTCTTCCTGTTGATCAAAAGTCGATTCAGCCGTGGCATCACTGACGGAAGCTCAACATGACTTCCTCCTTTTGCTTCATGAAGTTCGGCCCCAAAAGATTCTGAATAAGAGCAGCTTTCTACCCTGAAGTAAAAGAAGCTGCTTTTTGATGCTTCTGGTTTTAATTTCATCTGATCAGAATATTACAATCGCTAAGAGATCGGAGGATGACGACTCCCCGCTCTCAAGTAGTGAAGCGAGTTGAACACTGGACCTAAACAATAAAACTATTAGTTAAAATGTGACGTCTGCTCTCAGAACCCGAAACTCATGTATTTTTATCAATGCGAGGTTTTAATATGAGATTAATAATCAATCAATCTGTACGTGAACAGCGTGGTTGATAAAAAAAAAAAAACAAAGCTTGGAGAAATCAAACGTTTATTAAAATATGACCTTGAGATCAACTGCAGCAGCTGTCTGAGGTCCTCTCCTTCTGAAGATTCATTAATTTCCGATTTTTAAAACACCCAAATCGTAAACTGCTCAAACCAGTTTTAAATGTTGTTGTATTTTGATCCAGAAGTGGAAAAACCCAGTCAGTGGCAAAGCAGTCGATCAAAGTAAAACTTTTACAGCCAGATAAACGGAGATGAGTCAGTCAGACTTTTGTCTTGAAGGAAAGTTCTGTAGATCTTGGTCCATATTCCCTCTTAAGTCTCTTCCTTCAGCTCCACTGCTGATCCATCACCAGTTCAGAGCTGCTTCCTGTCTCACATGTGAGCTGCAGCTTTGCTTTAAACAGACACCTAAAGACTCTTCATCCCATTACAGAAACACGGGTCAAATTACCAAAATAAGAGTCTGGCTGTGAATGAAGTCTGGAGCAGGGCGATGCTTCCACTGGGACCCCTCCTCTCTATGTTTTTATTATCAGTTTCCTCCACATCACAAAGTCTCTATGAACTGGTTTCCGGTCTGCAGGTGAGCATCAGTGACTCTTCTTGGACGATCCAAAACCAGAGAAACCCATCACAGCCGCCATCTCATCGTCCTCCTCAAAGTCCAGATCCTCCTCGGCTCGCCGCTTCCTCTCCTTCTGCTTCTCCTTCTTGTAGGCCTTTGCCTTCTCCTCCTGGAAAGACAACAATTAAGTCATCTAAAGCCAGGTCATGTGTCTATATAAGTCAGAGATAGTTATAGAGGACAGGATGCACACTTTGTGACAAAAAACTAGTCCAGAAAACAGCATCGGTCATGAAATCAGGAGCTTCTCAGACAAGGTTGTCCTTTAGAATTGTAACAACAAAATAATACAGGCTTTCTTGAATGTATCATCATCTCCTGTTTAGGGGTCTGTTCTGCCTCCACTCTTCTCGCTGTACACTAATGACTTAACCTCAGCTGACCAACAGTAAAACTCCTCAGTCTGCAGATAACATGACTGTCATTGGTCTGATCCATATCTGCGTAGAGATAGGAGGTTCATTTGATGGTGCACTTCCATCGTTGTGGTTTCACTCATCGACTTAAGCTTTTATCTTCGTCTCTTTGCGGCTTCAATATATTACTTTGAAAAAAAATTGGATTAATAATTGGATAGTAACGGGCACTTAATACAAATCTCTTTTATTACCACTTTAGGAGTAGACAAAAGAAGGTTTATGGCAGAAAATGTCCAAATTTACAGCCTGTTAACTGTCCTAGTAACTGTCATTCAGTTACCAAATTAGTTGAGGATTATTTCTGTTGTCATGATAAATTCAAATAATTGTTTCGGTCATAAACTCCTTTAAGGGTTCCTCATGGGTAACAAAGTCTTCGTTTGGACTGTTTATTAGCATCTGAGTGGCAGAGAACCAACATCAAACTCCCCGTGTTGAATATTGTTGTAATATGGCTAATTGATATTGTTCATAGGTTAAATAAATAAAATTGAATAAATACAATTCAGGTTAGGATTGTAGTGGTTTTATCGTATAAGTAATTCTCCACCAGATGACGTGGGTGCCATATGTCAGTCATTGTTTTCGTTTTTTTGTTTTTTTCTGACCAGCGAAGAAGTCAAGCGTTTCTCTTCTAGAAAATGTAGCTCAATGTGTTTGTGAGGGTTGCCACAGTTCAGAAGTAAAGCGATGTAAAATGAAATCAAATCTCCAGTCGTTTTCCCCAGCAAGATGGGATGTTCTCAGCAAAACCCACAACACCGTTTTACCTCTAGCTTTTAATAAACACAACACTGTAGTTTGTCTTTTTACTTATATTATCGCTTTACATTGACTACCATTTATTTAAGTTCATCTGCATTTCTACCTAACCCAACATTTACCTTACCAGTAAATTCCAAACCTTAACGTGAGTGTAATTCACACAACACAGGGTTTATAATTTTATGCTTCTTAATGCTCTTAGAAATAATTTTAATTCCATCAACAAGTACCCAAGACTCTCATATATATATATATATATATATATATATATATATATATAGCCATTTTCTGCGCCTCAAGCTTCTTCTCCAAACATACAGGCTTACGATCAACCAGAGGTTGTGTTTGATATATCTGACTAAATTGTTTAAATAAACTTTTTTTTTTTAAAACAAAGCCTTTTAAATGACACAATAGTCACATAATATGAACTTTAATGCCAATTAAGGCCTCGATAAAAATAAAAAAAAAATCATAATTTAATGACTTTTAATGGTTTTTAATGACCGGCGGAGACCCTGCAATACCTTTAAAACCCACCTAAAATTAAAAATGAGGTCTCGCCAAATTAGAACCAGACTTTGGCCTCATAAGGCTTATCGGTCCTCAGAAGGTTAGTAACCATATGACAAAAGGTCCTAAAAAAGTAACATAAACTAACATGTTTTTCTACATTTAAAGCAAAACGTTCAAAGGAATTATAGAGCACATATTTCAATTCTGCAGGTTCTATAATCCAACCTTAACTATAATAGTGACTGCTCTTTGTAGAGATGTTGCAAAAAAAACAAAAGGCCTTTGTTGTATGCTGAAAGTACAATGTTTAAAAAAAAATTCTCTGCACTCTACTTTTGACATCATCTAAGGCCCAGTTAGAAACTGCCTTTCTTGACTTGTGTGGTTTCAGAGGAAATGCTGAGGGATGACCTATAAATAACCTCCTACACATCATATGGGAAAAAGAAATATGAATTGTCTGGTGTTGATTGATTAAACTTAATTTTTCACACTGAGTGAGAATGAGTAGTGTATGGTTGGTTTCGAACTTAATCACCCAATACTAAGTTTTGTTTTAACACAATTTGTTGTTTTTTTCTTTTTGAAAGAAATATTTAAATTCCTGCCTTACATTAATGTTTCATATTTATTATTTGTGTTGAATTGAAGAGAAGTTTTCTGTAAGGTCTGGGACTGTTTGGAGTCCCAGTGGTTATACAGTATGTATGTAATGTTTGAAAATAAATACATTTTGGGAAAGAAGTCTGCTTTAGGAACCACAATTATCAGTAGAGAGAAAACAATCTAGTGACCAGCAGTTCCCTCCCTCCTCACCTCCTCCCGCAGCTCCTTCAAGCGCTCCTCAAAATCATACTCCTTCTGCTTCTCCTCCAGCTTCTTCTTATTGACCTCGAAACGTTTCTTCACCTGATCCAGAGATGATCGCTCCACTCGCATGGACATCCCCAGATTTCTCTGATCTGCACATAAAAGGTCAGAACTTCCTGTTACAACATCTAGATCCCCTTATTCCCCAGTCTGGACGACCCCTCACTGTGTGATCGTGATTTTATTGCTGCCTTCATGTTTCACTGAGAATTTGGTTTAATTCTACCTGAGCAAATAGTCGTGACCACATAATCAATAATAATAGACCACTAAATAAATGATTCAAGGTGTTTCCATACTAACATCTGAAAACAAATGTATTCAGTTTAGATGTTTAAAAATCGTCTTTATGGCTTTTATGTTAATTTTGTTCTTTATCAACATGTGTTTCATTAACTCATGTTTTAAATAAATCAGTATTGTATTTTGGTTGTGACAAAATGAATTTTGTTTCCAGGTTAACAGCAGCGCAGAAACCAGTTAGCTGGTTAAATATCAGGATAGATGAGGACTCACGTTTCTTTCCGTTGATGTGATCCAGGAAGTTGATGGAGTCCTTCACCACACAGTCGCACACATTACAGTAATACCTGAAACATAAGAGGAGGAAATGAGAGAAGATCCTAGCTTTGAGCTTCATTACCTACAGACAGCTTCAAAAACAGGCTCATCTCTAAAAACAGTTTCAGATTTGTTTTATTTTGTTAGAAAGCTAGATACCCGCCCATCTCCGCCTGAGGAGTTGTCTTCGTGATGACGATGGTCTTCCCCAGCTTGGACTCCAGGTCCACCTTGTAGTCTCGGTGACGCAGGAGTTCCCGCTTGACCGGTGGAGCAATTTTTCCTGAGAGGAACGGCAGATTAAAATATCATACATTTTTAACCGCAACCCTGATAAATAGACTTACAGTTTTAGAGCTCACTCATTTCTTGTCAAATATAAAAATCTATAAGAAATTATGCTTTCATCAGGAAAAACAAAATAGAAATTTATATTAAACCTGGAAAAGATGCATCAAATAAATCAGTAGAATCTATTATATTAAATGAAAACTCAGCAGGTTCTCCTCGTTCTCCTCACCATCTCTCTTTTCGAGATCCCTCTCCTCTGCCAGACGTTTCTGAGCGAGGGACTCGTACTCGTCTTTGTCCCATTTTCGACGGAAGTCGTTTTTATTTGACTGGAAGAGAAGATACAAAATTTTAAAATACAAAAGATTCCAGACTGTTGAATAGAAAACGAGTAAAACACCAAAAGCCTACCGAGTATCCCGCTTTTACATTTCTTTACCGGTGTTCTGTCAGATGAGCATACCCGGTCAGACCAGCATACCCATAGTCAATACCCGTTTATCCCTTTAGTTTAGCACGAAAAATAAACTTTAAACTACCTCAACGGGCATGTATCCCTTTAGTAACATGGAAATTTTTTTTAAAATACATACTTTGTGTTTTTTTTAATGAGTATTGCGATCTGACCTTAAATACTTTTTTTCCTACATGACCGTTGAGGTAATTTAAAGTGTATTTTTCGTACAAAAATAAAGGGATAAATGCAAATCTGACATCTTGTGCATGCGTATTGACTATGGATATGCTCATCTGACAGAACACTGGATCTGTTATTCTTTAGATTACATTTACTGTGAATTACTAGAAAAAGATGAATTCTTATCAAATATGCAATAATATTTTAGCTGGGTACAGTTTGGCAAAAAAAAATATTTTGCAGTGACAAGGCAACTATCTTAGATCTAGGAACAAGCGTTTAATAAACTGGTTGACAAATTATTTATAAGTAATGTCCAGATGATTATTGAAACGCCTAAAGATCTAATATATATTAGTTCTCCTTTTAAAACAGACATTTTCTGACAGAGAATTTTAGGTTTTCATTATAGCTCATTATTAGCCATAATCATTAATAGGAGAAAGTACAAAAAATATTACAATAGCAAAGCCTACAAAAGTAACTATCAACAAAATTTGGTCAAAGGTTTTAATAATCATCTGGACATTACTTATAATTTTCCAACCAGTTTATTAATAGCTTGTTCGTTGATTGTATATGTGAAATTTCTTACAAAAAGTACACTTAAATAAGAAGAATAGATACGGTTTATAATTTCTAAATGATGTAGAATCTATCGTGAGGTTTCCCCATCGGAATGCACAACTAGTTTGGAAAACATGTTGCCGCATTAGTACAAATGACGAGCTTTATTTTGACAGACCGGAAGTTTATTTGTAGGAGGTACAATCTATTCTAATAAACAAAGGCGTTTTTATCGTTTTCTCTAGAAAACAGATACTCACAAACAACTGATATCGACTATTATATCAACTACGACCTGTATTGACAAGCAAATATTCTTCATAATAGCCTATAATACTGTGTTATTAATATTGGGGGATTTGCCTGTTAGCTTGTTAGCCGGTAGCATCATCGCGCTGAGGTTGTTTAAAAGGGTGAAGTTGGAGCTACAAGCGGCTCTGGTTTAAAGAATAACGCTAACTGTACTATGAGACCGGAAAGTGTTTGATAATTTATGATTATAAACCCGTTATTCTACGGAACAAAAAAACTCACCCCACTGCTAGACGCCATCTTGTTTGATCTGTTACCGGAAATGGCTGAAAGGGAAAATAAAATTTTGTGAAGAACAACGCCCCCTGCAGATTGCAAGCGCTCTGCAGCGAGAAAATGATAAATAAATAGAAAAAAAAAGTTATTTTGAAAATATGTTTTCGTGTCTAGTTCTTTTAAATTAAGTCTGTGTGCGATTTTTTTTTCTTATTTTGAATCACAAAGACAACGCATGTGTTGTTCTAGTTTTAGAAGAATAACGGCACTTAAATTAGAAATGTCCAGGTGTATGATAGATGAGCTTGTGGCCCCGCCCCATGCCCCCACTGCCACAGGTGTTCCTCATTATAAGGCAGAGAAAGCCGAATGATGGCGTGTCTGTCTGCAGCGAAGAACAGAAATGTCTACCAGCGGAGTGGAACCCGCAGCCCAGAGTCCGCTGATGTCCTGCAGGTAGGAACCAGAACAAACAGGCAGCCAATATTCTAAACACACAAGTATTTTTTTTTTATTGCAATTTTTTTTTCTGCTCTTGAAAATCTGTTTAAAATCCAGATATTAGTTTTACTGTCACCTTCTGACCTGTTGGTCCAGATATATGCATATTGTTTGATTTTTCCTTATGTTTGCTGTTAGGGTTTGGGGTGTGGATTAAGGGCAAGCTAAACTAGGATCCTTACCAAAAATTTTTATCTTATCTTGGATCTATGGAATTGACACAAATGCAATCATGAGGAAGACTTGACCTGACAGCCTTCAGAGCAGGAACTTCCAAATGGACATCACTAAAATGTGCTGCTTCCAAGCAGTAATGGAAAGTTAAGTGGAAGGAAAAACTGTACAGAAAAAGACTAACTGCTGTCTTGAGATAAAGTTTTATTTAAGGGTATGGGGGAGGTTCATGTGGTGAGAGCAACTTGGCACTCTCTCAAAATTTCTGGAGATTTGCAGACTGGTTTCACACTCTGTAGATGGGGAAGTTTGCAGATCCTGTTCAGTCTCTGCTACAGGAGGTCTGTGTTTGATTGGTTAAAGGGGCATTTTCTCATATGCCTTCAAAGAAATAATTATAAAGTAAGGGTTATTGTATCAGGTTCCTATCCTAATACCATTTTTAATATTCCTTAATGAGCCCAAATAGAATTCCAGCACCTGGCACAATGAGTAGACATGACTGGTGCGCCATCTACTGGAACTAGAGGAAAAAACCAGAAAGCATTTTTTTTTTCCATTTACCCCAGCTACATGATGGAGCTGACTTTCATGCCTCATGGTAAAGCGACTAGGACTTGAACAATTAATTGATTTACTAAAATCATCAACAAATTTAGTAATCGATTAATCGTTTACTGGAGCGACTGGTTAACTAAAACATGTCTAGCTGCTGAGTGTCCCACTTAGAGCAGTAATTATACAAAAATTTAAGGGGGGAAAAAGTTATCATTTTGCATTTTAAGATGATAAAAAAAAAAAAAAATTAATCAATCAATATTCTCCATCCAGATATCCTCAAGTGGAAAGGTTTTAGTTCCACCGGTTCAATTTAATAAAAAAAATTTGTTTTACAGAACCTTTTATCAAATTATTGATTCATTAAAAAAATGACAATCGATTTACATTATTAGTTGTGGCCCTAAAAGTGACAATTGGGTGTGATCAGACCAACCCATACTTTTTTTTTTTTATATTAAAAATAAAAAATCTACTGAAGCATTAGTTCTATAACATATGTTTGAACTTGGTCTGTAGAGACTGACGATATTATTGCTAATATAAGTAATGGTAGGGAGCTTTACTCAAATGTCCATCTGAATTAAATCCAATACTTCCACAGCTCTGCTTCATTGAACACCAACGTTCATACTGTTATCATTCCTATCTGCCTTGTCCCTTGGAATCAAATACTTTTATTTTTTATTTTTTTTTTAATCACACTGCATTTTCCACTTTAATATTTTCATAACACTGCTGGGAGCTGCTGACTTAGCCCATTGCTTCGCTGAACACGAGTTCTATCGTACCACCAGTAAAGCTCTGTAAATGCACACAATGCTTAATTTACAAAAGAGAAACAATAAGCAAACATTAGGCACTGTAATGATCTACTAACACATACATTTGTCATAACAGGGCCATGAACCTTTTCATAACTTTTGCTCTTGGACTGCAGTTGCATATTTTTAAACTTGCAACCTCAAAGGGCTCCATCAGGGATTCGTTACATTAAAGCAAGAAAACAAATCCATTAAACCTGCTGACCTGTAGGGAGACTTGTGAAATCTTAAAAGGCAGGCTTTTTTAGTTGATCATCTAACAGCACTCTGAATGTTTACTGCTTTCTCTCCATAATTCCAAATATCTGAATTTCATTTGTACAGTTTGAGGGAGATGGTTTTTAACTGGACTTTAGTTGTGTTTATGGAGGCTGAACAGTTGAGTTCTGGTTATTTGATTGATAAAGGAAAAACTTCTGCCGTGGGGTGTGCTCTGCAAATATTTTCATTGCTGTCCATCAAAAACTTGGTGTTTCCTGGACCTAAAACAGAGGAGTCGGGTTCACTCCCAACACATTTTTATGCACCTCTACTCAAGACCTAAAGAGGCTGACTTTGCTCTTCTAGTCAGTCGCAAAGTTCTGCTAAGTAGGAAAGAAGCAGGATGCTGACATTGAAGGACCAGAATAATCAACTCTTTTCTAAAACTTTTTGTCTAAAACTCTCATTTGATGTCCTGTTCCTGCCCCAGTTTCTCTTATAGCCCCTGGTCGTGTGTCTGTGCCAAGGGTTGGTCGGCTGCCATGTGGAACGGCTTCCCTGACCTGCTGCCCCCCTCCTCAGGATGCTCAGCCCCTGAACCATGGCTCCTCCCCGGCTGCAGTTCTGTCTATGACAGCCTTGTCAGGTGGGTGGAGCACCTGGTCACTGATCCCCTGCTTTATAAGGGATCGGGGTGAGATGGAAATGTGTGAGCAGTGTTTTTTCTCAGGTCTAGATCCAGTGGGAAGTCTTTATTTTATTTTTACCCCCTCTAGGGGGCAGCACACCTGAATCAGTTTTCATATTATCAAATTAGTTGTCATTTTTAAAGGATGGGAGTTTTTGTTTG